TGCCCCCGACATCGGGGCTGCTTCCCTCCATGCTGCCGGGGCCTGCAGGATGGGGGCTCTCTTTGTCTAAACATTGCCCCGTGTGTAAACATCTGGAGGGGCTGTGCCTACACACACAGACTGTCTCTAGAAGTGTTTACAAGAAACTGGTGGTGCTGCTTGTCTATGGGGCAGAGAACGGGTGCCTGGGGACGGGGTAAGAGAAAGACTTTTTTGCTTCTTATGGCTTCTGAATTTTGAACCACGTGAAATCATTACCATGTCAAAAAAATTTAAATGGAAAACATGCAATTGTTATGTTTCACCTCCACACAGATCCTTAATTCCCTCCCCATGGCATTCGGTGGTTTTCATGAACTATTGCTTGCCTTAGATTATTCTTTAAGATTCTCAGTATTGAGTGACAGAAGCCCAATTCCAACTGGATTAGAACACAATTGTAATGTGTTGGGCCATAGAGCAGATTCTGCTTCAGGTATGGCTGGATCTAGGCCACAAGCAATGTTATTGAGATTCATCCTCTTGGCCCTGCTTTTCTCTGTTCAGGCTTTATTCTCAGACATGATCTTTCCTTGTGGTGGCAGATCCAGTCACGGGCAGTCCTGGGTTTGCATCTTGACATTTGTAACCCTAAGACTCCCACAAGTCCCAGGCTGAAACTCATCGGTGTCATATGCCCAACCCTGAACCATTCCTATGACTCAGGTTGGCTAGGCCTGGGTCTCAGGCCCACTTTGAGAGCCTGGGGGTGGGCTCAGTCAGACTGTAGATTCTGGAAAATTGAGGGGCGTCACCATAGTAAGAGGCATGGAGGCTGGCCAGGAAAACAGCACTCACTCACTATCCTCCTGGATTTCCCCCTCCCAGGCCATATCTTCTGGACATCTCTCTCTTTTTTTCCCTTTTTAAAAAAATACATTTTATTGATTTTTTTACAGAGAGGAAGGGAGAGAGATAGAGAGCTAGAAACATCAATGAGAGAGAGACATCGACCAGCTGCCTCCTGCACACCCCCTACCGGGGATGTGCCCACAACCAATGTACATGCCCTTGACCGGAATCGAAATCAGGACTTTTCAGTCCGCAGACCGACGCTCTATCCACTGAGCCAAACCGGTTTCGGCTGGACATCTCTTGTTTCCTGCTCACGCCATGCGTCTCCTTGTACTCTTCTTGGCCGCTGCTGCTGCCTCTGCCTCTCCCCCTGGAGTAGCCTTTCCTTATCTGCCTGGCAGACTCCTACTCACCCTCTGAGACCCTACTCAAATGTCACCTCCTCCTGAAGCTCCCTGACTCTCCATCCGCTTCCCCACGCCAGCAGAACAAATCCTTCTCACTGCTTTCTGCTGAGTTTTCTTTCAGTCCACAGGCCCTGGCAGCCTCATCCACGCCGGCCCCGGGTGGCCAGAGTGAGTCAGGGCCGGCCCGTACCGGCATGGCCCCCGTTCGTGGACAGGATATGCTGCCGGAGAGCTGGTTGCTTCACTGGGAGCTGCCTGTTCCTGAGACCTGGGGCCCAGCCGAGGCCCGCTGTGTCTTCTCTAGTCCAGCACAGGCCCGGGCACAAGGTGGACGCAATGTGAGTTTTCACGGTGAGTGACGGCCGGGTGCACTGAGGGGGTGGGAAGTGCTGAGCAGGAGCCCCGTGGCCTCTGCTCCCCGGGGCCGGGGACAGCGGTGTGCCTGGGTGTCCCCGGGCCTCTGGGAGGAAGTGTCTGGGCCGGACCCTGCCAGCACAGAGCTGTCACCACTCTGGAAAACCCCATGGCCTTAGCCTGGGGCCAAAATCCAGGCCCAGAGGAAAGTCCCCCAGCAAGGCCGCCCGGCTCCCAAGGAAAGGTGCAAGGCAGGGCCGAGGTAGCTCCAGGAGACACTCATGGCAAAGCCCAGCCTCCGAGGGATCAGAGATCTTTGGGGGGCGGGAGGTGGGGCGGGGAGCAAGGAGGGCAGGGCTGCAGTTGGCAGGAGCGCAAGGGAGGAAGGAAACAAGAAACAATCAAGAAAAATTTAACCCAGGCCGGGTTGGCTCGGGTCACCGAGCCTCACAGGCTGAGCTCAGGCTGGGATGGAGGAGCTTCCTGGGGGGATCGGGGAAGGGGGAGCAGAGTGGGGAGAGGGGAGCTGAAGGCGCTCTACAGACCGCATCTCTCACTGACCCCTTAGATGCCCCCAAGATGATCAGCACCCTTCCCTGTGACCCTCCCTCCCAGGCCTGCCCCGGACCCCTGTCCCATTGCCCCACCTGCTTCCCAGGGCGCGAGGTGCCCGGTGAGCGGACGGCAGAGCGCGGGCTCCAGCCGGGCCCTTCCCTGGAGTCCCGCCATCACCCAGCTAACTTCCGGGAGGGGGCTTTTCACCGTTTCCCGGACCCTCTGGGGGGCTGGGCTGCTGACGCAATGATTTCCAGGAAGAGGAGTCTGGGAGGGGAAGGAAGGCTGAGTCAGACCCTGGGTGGTGATTACAGGGTCCTGTGGGGTTGCGGGGAGCAGAATGGACTGGGCCCATCCCAGGGCCAGGGAGGGGCTTGCCCTGAGAAGCAGGAAGTTGAATGCCCCGTCCAGGGCATTTCGCCATAGCGGCCTTCCTCGCCTCTGAACTCTCCCAAACATCCTGCAGGGTCCTGCCCTCCGCCCCCGGGGCACCCAGGAGCCCTTCCAGCGAGAACAGTGCAGCCCTGGCTCAGGCACTGGACCCTGAGCATGCGATGCAGGCTGGGGTGGGGCAATGGGTGGGGCACTTGGCCCGGGTCTGTTGGGTCAGAACAGCAGGACAGCCCAGCCATCCCCTGGCTCCGGGCCCAGCCTCCCTGCCCACACTGGGGCCCTGCACACAGCCGGAGAGGTTACGTAAAAAACAATTTTAGTAAAAGAGATTCTGGTTATAAATGCTCCTTAATTGCAGGCCTCCCTTGGCAGCTGGGTGTGTGCACAAGGGTCTGTCCATGCAGCAGGTCCAGGAGGAGCTGGCAGCGGGCTGCCGGGCTCCCCTGGCCCCAGCTGAGGGTGGAACTTCACCTGGGAACGGGGAGAGCCAACCGCCCACCTGAGCGCTTGCAAAGCGCAGAACCCACTGCAGGCACAAGTCACACCTGGGCCACGGGCTTGGTGAGGGCCCTTGCTTGGGCGATGGCAGCAGTTTACAGAGCCACACGGGGACCAGCACTAACTGGAAACCTGTCACATCCCGGAGTCCCTAACACAGTCCCCAGAGCGCAGGCGGCAGGTCCTCTGGCTTCGGGTCCTGGCTGGGAGCCAGGCTGGGCTGCTCACTGGTCCCTGAGCAAGGGGAGCAGGGGCTTGGGCCAGGCTGGTGTGGCCAAATAGGCTGCTCTCCACCCACCACCCACCACCCACCGCCCCCCCATCTGACCCCAGAGCGCTCTGGAGTTGGTTTCCGGCTTTCTGTGGCCTTGAGTGAGTGTCTTTGCTGCTCTAAGCGTCCATCCCTGCAGCTTTGTTTTGTCATTAACTCTGGATGGAGCTCTCCCCCAATGGTGGACTCTCAGTGAATGAGCAGGGGCTGGGGCTGCACTCGGGCGCATTCCTGCGGGTTCAGGGGCTTTGTCGTTAGAGTCACAAGCTCCTATTCCCTGGTGTCCAAGGCATTCTCTCCTGCAGAGGCCATGTGCTTCCAGCAGCAAAACACACACAACCCTTATCTCGTCTGGGGCTCATTTAACTCCCATGTATCAGGCAAAGAGGTTCAGAAAGGGACTGTCTTTTTAAAAAAATGTTTTATTGATGTCAGAGAGGAAGGGAGAGAGAAATATCAATGACTGATAGAGAATCATTGATTGGCTGCTTCCTGCACACCTCACACTGGGGATCAAGCCAGCAACCTCTTGGTACACGGGACCACGCTGATCTGCCTATTTCAGTCAGTTGGTTAGCAACTATAATTTCATCGGCAGCCTTAATTTTTATTTGCCCTGTAATAGAACATGGTCACAGGTCCGGAGACCGGGACACGACCCTCCCACAGTTACAGGATGGAAACTTTCACCGTCGTGGTCACACTGTACTGTCACCCTGTCACCCTCCAGAAGGCAAGGTCCCCGCACCCCATTACTGTCCAGGGTGTCAGGGTGTCCCTGGGGACATGGGTTCCCTCCATCTCACTTCATTGGACCAGAGGTCCCCACGCAGAGGCCACTGAATTCCCAGCATAGAAGCTCAAGTATTTGTTGTTGATTTTTAAAATGTGTTTGTGTGTTTTATTTCAGAAAGGAAGGAGAGGAAGAGAGAGATAGAAACATCCATGATGATAGAGAATAATTGATTGGCTGCCTCCTGCACGTCCTCCCCCCACTGGGAACAGGACCACGACCTCCTGGTTCATAGGTGGGCGCTCCATCACGGAGCCTCTCCGCCGGCAACGAGTTATTTGTTGGCCAAATGGAGCGTTTCTTTCCGTCTGGTTCCAGCGCCCCGTGCAGGGCCGCCCTTCAGTGAATGCTCCTGGTCCCGTGTGAATGAAAGAGTGAGCGAATGAATGAATGAAAGAGTGAACGAATGAATCACATAGAATGAACGTTGTACCAAGTCTAAGCATGGATCCCACCCTGCCTCCCTCCGAAGACGCCACCCCGCCTGACGGCAAATCTGGCCCAGGCCACCCCGCTGCCCACCGCGATGCCCTCTCTTTACGGGGGCAGTAAACTCCTGGGAGCCTGGAACGTTTGTAACAGGCCCCGTTCATTTCCATCGCAGCCACTGAATTCGCTGGTGCAGACGCCCCTGACCCAGCCCTCCAGGGAAGGCGCCGGTCCAAAGGCGCTTTCAATTCCGCAGAATCCACTCTTCCAGCTGCCGCCCTCGGCCCTCCTGGCGCTGAGCATTCAGGTTCCGCCGGGCACAGCCGGAGCCCACGGAGCCCGCGGGCCTGGACCCCCGGGACCGCTCTGCCCGCAGGCGCGGAGCTGCCCGGGAGCCGGGGCGGGGCCGCGGGGGCGGGGCCGCGGGGCGGGGCCTGCCCGGGGAGGCCGGCCATTGGCTCCGCGGGCCCGGGGCGGGGCTTCGGGCCCAGGTCCGCACAGCGAGTTCCCAGCCGGAATCGGCCCCGGGTCCGTCCAGATCCAGAGCCGCCGCCGCCCCAGCCCGCCGCCTGCGCTGAAGGTGAGCTCCCGCCGGTTCTGCAGCCGGACCCGGGTCCGAGGGGCCGCCGAGAGCCCCGCCCGGGGCGCCCCGTCCCTCCCGCTCCCATCCCTCCTCCGCGCAGGTCCCTTCCCCGGAGCCGCGGGCTCCCCGGTGCTTCCCGCCGGCGCCTCGGACCCAGCGGCCACACCCGAGCCCTCTGCCTGCGGGCGCCGCGCATCCCGAACCCGAACCCCGATCCGCCCTCCGCCCTGCGCCTGAGCCTCCCGCGCCCCCTCACCCCGCCCCGGGCCCCGGAGCGCCTTCCCGCCGCCCTGGGTCCCACCGCTCCGGCTGGGAGCACCGGGTCCAGGGCGGGGGGTCGTATTTTTAGCGGATGGGGAGGTGTCCTCCTATCTTTAGCCGCGGCCGCGAGCCTCCTGAAGCGGATCCGGGCTGGGCAGGGCAGGGCAGGGCCGGGCTGGCTGCGCCCGGAGAGGGCGGGGAGGGATCGGCAGGAGCCCGGGCTGGGGCGGAGGAGCGGGCCGCGGGAGCCCGGGGCGGGGGCCGCACGCCGCGCTCTGGCCCGGCGCCGAGTGGACACTCGGACGTCGCCCAGCCGGAAAGCGCGGGGGGCGGGGGGGACCCTCCCAGAGGGAGACCCGCGCGGGGTCCGGATCGCCCCTTTTCCCGGCGATTGTCTGGTTGTGAGACAGAAAAGAAGATCCCGCAGACCCCCCGCGTCTGGCGCGCGGACGGGAGGCTCCTGGGGGCGCCCGCCTGGGGCCGGAGGCGCCGGGGACCCCCGCGCGCGCCCGGGCTCCTCCGGGAGCCACAGGCCAGAGCGCGCGCGCCACCTAGCGGCCGTGGGTTGCAGCGCCGCCCCGGGATCAGCCCCCGCCCTCCCCGCCCCCCCAGGCCTGCGAGGCTGCGAGGGGGATCCGCTGGCTGTGCCCGCCTGAGGCCAGGGGCCCTTGTTTTTATGATCTTGTTGGGAGTGCTGTGTCCAGATCACAGACGTGCTTGGGGAAGGCCCTGCCGCCGTTTGCTGAACAGCAGGCCCGGCGGGCAGGGACACTGCTGCTCTCCATTGCAGCGCAGCGGGAGGGTCTCCAGCAGCCTCTGGTGATGGCTTCATGGTCAGCCCATTTGATGGATGGGGAAGGTGAGGACCAGAGAGGAACGGTGTCTTTCCCCAAGTCAGAGTGAATCCTAAGTGGGGATGGATTTAAGGTCGGTCTCCTGATGTTGAGGTCAGGCTGGGAGGGGTAGGGAGCAGACTGGTATTCCTTGCGATGGGAGGTCACCTTCTCCGAAGGAGGCCCAGCGTGGCCGGTCCGAGCTTCAGCTTCTGCTTCTGTAAAAGGCAGTGCTGACGCCGCCCGTGCTGGGCCTGGGAGCGTTAACTGGAAGCTGCGGTGGGCGGCGGGAGACGGGGTCTGTGGTTGCCAAATGTGAATTCTTGCGGCTTGATGGTTGCAGTTCTCAGCTCTCCCCTGGGTGGCTGATGCTGGCCCAGCCCTTCCTCGATAGCCTGTTCTCCCACATCTGGAACTGGGCTGTCCATCTGGCTCTGAGCGAGGCAGCTGTCAGGGACGCCCATTTGTTGTGGAAACGCTCAGGCTGTCATGGCGCCCCTGTGTGATGGGGGGGGGACCTGGCCCAGGCTCTGAGCGATCCCACCCGGCAGCCCCACTGTCCCTGAGCAAAGAGGGAGGGAAAGCCGCCCAGGACTTCCTGCCTGGCCTGCCGAGGGGACAGACAGAACGTGTGTCAGTATGCGCCCCAGGCCTGGCACGGTGGGCATCTGTTGGGTGAATGAGGGGACTCTAAGACCTGAGGCACCCGTGGCCGCCCCCTCCTCCCCCCAGCTCCTTCCAAGCTCAGCTGGAACCCACACTGCGGACTGAGTCCTTTGTTTCCTGTGAAGCTGCAGGTGCTCCGGGAGGGGCAAGATGTCCGGTCCCTGTGGCTCAGCGTGACTGACCCTGGTGTCCGGTGCTGGGTGGGGTTTCCTCGGGGAGGGCCTGGGCTGAGGGGGTGATTCTGCCACATCGGCATCCTCCTGCCTCCTTCCTGCCTCCTCCTTCCAGCCCCTCGTCCTCCCCTCACCCGTCCTCCCCTCACCGGCCCAGGATGCCCAGCTGCTCAGCCCCTCCCTGGCTGGGTCCCACTTGCTCAACCCTGCCGGCCTGGGGACGGGGCAGAGGGAACTGGTGAGGCCATGTGGGTGCCCGCTGGGTGACCTTGGACCCGGTCCTTCCTTTGCCTTTTGTGCTCGGATTCCACATCTGTGTCCAGGATCAGGGCCACTCCCTCCCCGTGAGAACCAGAGCGAGTGCTCGGAAGGCTTCCTGTTACCCCAGGGTGACACCCCTTCAGGGTGTGTCTGTTTTTCCCACATTCAAATTGCTTTCTTTTCCTGATTTTATAAATAATATGCACGTGAGTAATATAAGCTTATTAAGAACCTGCGTTTATAAAAGTGTGAACAAGCAAAGCAGAGTCACCAGAAATATTACCACCTTAGAGAAGCACCATCAATATTTTGACCGCCATCCTTTCATATTTACATACTTTATTTATTTTATTTTATTTTTTTAATATATTTTATTGATTTTGTACAGAGAGGAAGGGAGAGAGATACAGAGTTAGAAACATCGATGAGAGAGAGTCATCGGTCAGCTGCTTCTTGCACACCCCCAACTGGGGATGTGCCTGCAACCAAGGTACATGCCCCTGACCGGAATCGAACCCGGGACCTTTCAGTCCGCAGGCCGACGCTCTACCGCTGAGCCAAACCGGTTTTAGCTACATACTTTATTTTATAGCAACAGGGCTAAATATTAGATAATTTTTATCGAGGACACCTTTCCTCTCACATCACTGACCGCACATTTCATCCTGCCCTTCTAGTCTGGGTAGCACATATGACATCTAGTGCTGGCCTTCCATATTCTTCTCTGTTCACACGTAGAATAAAATTCTATGCAGATTGTATGTAGGTACATATGCATGTGTATGTGGGGAGTGGGAGGGGAGTTGGTCAAGGCTTCCAATAAATGGAATCTTCTAGACTGCATTTTTGCATTTTGCTTCTCTCCCTCTGCAGTGCCTTGTGGGAATTCCTCCAATATATTAGAGCTCCAGTTTGTTTTGTTTTATCCTCACCCGAGGATATTTTCCCATTGATCTTTTAGAGAGAATGGGAGAGGGCAAGACAGAGAGAAACATCGATGTGAGAGAAACACATCGATTGGTTGCTTCCTGCATGTGCCCTGACCAGGGCCTGGGCCAGAGTCTGCAACCAAGGTACATGCCCTTGACTGGAATCCAACCCAGGACCCTTTGGCCCACAAGCTGGCACTCTATCCACCGAGCCAAACCAGCTTATTAGTCAACAGAGCCAAATATCAACAGTACAACGATTGAACTTTCTTTTGAGAGCAAAATTTTTTAAACTTAAACTTCTAACGCCACTTCTTCAAAATAGACTCGCCCAGGCCGTGGTATTTTGTGGAAGAGCCACACTCAAGGGACCAAAGAGCTGCATGTGGCTCGAGAGCCGCAGTTTGCCGATCACGGAGCTAGGGCATAGCTCCAGTTCCTAAATGGGGATGACAGGAGGGTGGTTGTGATAACTAAATGAGATGTATTTGCAAAGAACTCAGCAAAATGCCAGTCAAAGAACAGAGACCCCTCCCATCTGGTCCCACCCATCTATCTTCCCCTTAGGTGCTAGGGCAGGGAGGGGGACAGAAACTACCTTAGACTCAGCCCCTGCCCTAGGAACTCCTGACCAGGAGGAGGAGAAAAGAGAAATTGTGGGGTGACCTCACTTCCAGGTGGGATGTGATTGGGCCAAATGAAGGGCAGGGTGGGGAGGGGCATCTCAGTTGCAAGGCTCTGCCAGCTGAACACCTACTGTGTCCAGCCCTGTGCCAGGCCTGGGTGGGTGAGAGGGGTTACATGATCTCTGTCCTCTGCCAGGTAGGGAACTGAGACCAGACTATGGGAGCCCCAGGCAGTTTGGCACCTGCCTGCCATTTCCTGGGACGGCATTGATGTGCAGGAGTGAGCGCCTGGGCCATGGTGATGAGCAGAGCCAGGGACCCAGGGCAAGACACAGAGCCAGGACTCTTTTAAAATCCTCACCCGAGGATATTTTCCTATTGATTTTTCGAGAGAATAGAAGGGAAGGGGTGGGGGGGGAGAGAAACATCGATGTGAGAGAGACACATTAATTGGTTGCTTCCTGCATAGACAACCGAGGTACGTGCCCTTGACCAGGAATCGAACCTTCAGTCTGCGCTGACACTCTAACCACTGAGCAAACCCGGCCAGGGCCAGAGCTGGGACTTTGTATGGGACTTCGGGCTGTCATTCAGGTTCTGGGGCCCCAGTTTCCCCTCCTGTAAGAGAGCGGCTTGGCATTGGTGACCTGGGCCCTCGGGTGCAGCGGGCCTAGGACTGAGCGATCTCCCTCCTGCAGGGCCCTGCATGCGGGCTCCGGGGCTGACACTGCTCCCGCTGCCGCTTGTCCCTCCGTCCCTGACTTGTGTTTCTTTCAGCTCCTCTGCCCGGACCAGGGAGACACTCCCAGGGGCCAGCCCGGGGAGCACAGCTGCCTACGATCACCTTCCTGCTGCCAGCTCCGGAGTGCTCCACCCTTTGGGGACAGTGTGACTTCCTGACTTCAGCAACATTCGTCTCTCTTTTTCTAATTCCGTGGGCCGACCCTGTGCCCACGCCCGCCCCCTGCTCCCTGCCCTCGGCAGGGTTCTGGTGCCTGAAAACCACCCTCCGGCTGGGGTGTGTCCGGGTGAGTGGCGAGAGGGGCAGCCGGAGCCCGCGGGCTCGGCGATCGGACGGCCTCCAGCCTCGGAGCCAGGCCCGTGGTGAGGTCGCCATGTCCACCAAGGCGCCCATCTACCTGAAGCGAGGCAGCCGCAAGGGCAAGAAGGAGAAGCTCCGGGACCTGCTGTCCTCGGACATGATCAGCCCGCCGCTGGGGGACTTCCGCCACACCATCCACATCGGCAGCGGCGGGGGCGGCGACGTGTTCGGGGACATCTCCTTCCTGCAGGGCAAGTTCCACCTCCTCCCGGGGACTGCCGTCGAGGGGCCCGAGGAGGACGGCAGCTTCGCCCTCCCCTTCCAGTTCGCCCCCGCCGCCCTGTGCGGGCAGGGGCTCCCCGCGGGGCCGTCCCCGCTGCTCAAGAACGCCATCTCCCTCCCCGTCATCGGCGGGCCCCAGGCCCTCACCCTGCCCACGGCCCAGGCCCCCCCCAAGCCCCCGCGCCTGCACCTGGAGACCCCGCAGCCGTCCCCGCAGCCGTCCCCGCAGGAGGCGGGGGGTGTGGACATGTGGCGGATTCCAGAGGCCGGCTCCGCCCCCAACGGGCTGACCCCTGAGTCGGGGGCTGAGGAGCCCTTCCTGTCCCACGCCAGCTCCCTGCTCTCCCTGCACGTGGACCTGGGGCCGTCCATCCTGGACGACGTGCTCCAGATCATGGACCAGGACCTGCGGGTCCCCACATAGGACCGGGGCGAGCCGGCCTGGAACCTGGGCTGGGGTGAACGCCGGGAAGCGGGGGGACATGGTCCGGGCCTACGAGTCGGGATCCCAAGCCAGAGAGTTCTCACGTTGAGCCTGTGTTGGCCTCCCTTCCCCCTCTCTCCGGGACAGAGTACAGCTCACTGCGTTCCCATGAAGCCCACAAGGACACGTGCTGGACTCAGCCCAACGGGCCCTGAGCATGTCGGCCACCTGGGCCCCCACGACCAACCGCTCCTCCCTCCTCAGACCTCTGGGGTGGACGCTGCGGAAACCAACTCCCCTTTCCCCTCCCTTCTTCCCGGCCCCCTCGGATGCCCTGGCTGGGGGGCAGGGCAGAGGAGGACGCAGACCTTTGGTGTCATGTCCTGGGCGAGAAGCATGGCCTCCAGGACCGGATGCCCCTCTGCCCCACCCCTTTCCACATGACCAAGGGTTCTGGTCGCAATAAAACCTGCTGCTGCTCATAGTTGTGCTCCCCGTACCCTTGTCCCTGAAGACAGGCGGGTCTGCAACCTGGGCTGACCCTGTGGGGGGTGAGGGTGGGGTGGTGGTGGTGGGGAATGGGGACACCCCAGTTCCTGGCTTCGGGAGATGTTCCCTGATTTAGAGGGCCTGGGACTGGGAGGGACCCGGCACTGCTACCAGTGCTGTCTGTGGAGCACCTGCAGTGAACTTGGGGTGCTCCAGGTGCGGGGACCCCGGACAGACATGGTCCCTGCCCTCCTGAAGCTGATGTTCTAGGAGGAGAAAGGTACTAAGTTTGTAAGCAAGGAAGCTGATTCTCAAGTGTTGAGCACTGTGAGAAAAAGAGTTGATCGGAAATGCCTGGGGCGAGGGGTCCGGTGGTGTCGGGGCACCTGAGGATGATCACGCGTGATTCTAAGCCAGACCTGGGGCACTTATTAATCGGGACTTGTTCCCGGCAGATATTTACATGCTTGTCTTTACCTTAAACACAGTAAGCCGTGTTAGTTTACGGCCATTATCAGGTAAGTCCGGAATCTTAAACCTTTGTGGGTCGGTTTATGTTTTCTGATGTGCGTGTCAGTTCCTGTGCAGGGTTTCTTATTTCTCTGTGTGCCTGATTACCTTTGACTACGGACTGATATCATATCTGAAGAACGGTGTTTAGAAGTAATTTGAAGCCTCGGGCGAAGGTACATTCCTTCAGAAAGGACAGTGCTTGCTACTAAATATGCTTGCCTCTGCCAGGTAACAAGGGGCACGGTAAGGATGGGTCCAGCTGAATCCAAGTTCAAGGCTTGGGCGTCCCTGGACCACCCAGGTGGTATGATTCTGGGCTGCATGTTCATGCAAGTAGGGGTCCCTCCTTAAAGTGCGTGTCTGGTGGAGTATCGGTCTTCCTGCCTTGGGCAGGCTCTGGGTTTTGATTTTTGGCCTTCCCCGCCAAAGACGGCCAAACAACAGCTCAGTTTCACCGTTATATCTTCCAGATCGGTAAATGTCTCCAGAATAAAAATTGTTTTGAATTCTGGGCTTACCTCTCTGGGTTTGAGCCTCCTAAATGTTGGCCCAGTGATTCTTCACTATAGTATTAGCTTTGCAATGCTTTTCAGATTTTTTTGTTGTTGTTCGCGTTCTCTGATTTTTCATTTGTCTTCAGTGGGAATGTTGGAAATAACCAGGAGCCTGTTTCCAATTAACTGAATGTAATATTAAGAAAACCCCCTGGGTTTCATTTATATATCTTTCCCCACTGGGTAATAGCAGTCCTGTTACCCCTTATCAATTAGCATCAAGCACCCCAGCCGATAGTAGTACCCCGTTTTTACTTTCTGGCCCAGTGGATGTAGAATGCAAAGCTCAGCTCCTGATTTAGAGAAGTCATATTGTGCCCCCTGGTGGAAACATAACTCCCTCTGGTCCTTAAAGGGAGATCAGCCGGAGCCAGAAGCGTCTGGCAGGCAAGGGGAACATTTTGCAAAGTCTTTAGTTCAGATGGCAAGTGGCTGCAGCCCCTCCGTCCACTCCTTGGTTTCTGTCTGTGAGAGGAACGCTGTATGACTGCTCGCTGGTTCTGAGCACATAGAGTATCTATTATTCAGTGACATAGCATTTCTTTCTTCTTTAAAAAAAAATATATTTTATTGATTTTTCACAGAGAGGAAGAGAGAGGGATAGAGAGTTAGAAACATTGATGAGAGAGAAACATCGACCAGCTGCTTCCTGCACACCCCTACTGGGGATGTGCCCGCAACCATGGACCAGAATCGAACCTGGGACCTTTCAATTCGCAGACCGACGCTCTGTCCACTGAGCCAAACCAGTTTCAGCTACAGCATTTCTTAAAAGGACCCTGCAAGAACGGAAAGCCATGATGCTGTGCTCATAAACTGCCTTCCCAATGAGACAGAACCAGCCTGCTTATTAATATTAACACTTTTCATTTTAAAATTTTTATTGAATTATACATACGGAGAAGTGCACAAATCTTGTGTAGTTCAAATAATTTGTACAAAGTGAACAAACCTATGTAACTACTACCAAGGGGAAGAAAAGGAACATTCCTAGCACCCCAGTCGCCAACTCATGCCCCCTCCTTGCCACTGAAAGGTAATCATACAGGATGTCCTTTTTTTAAAAAAAAAAATATTTTTATTGATTTTACACAGAGAGGAAGGGAGAGAGATAGAGAGCCAGAAACGTCGATGAGAAACATTGACCATCCGCCTCCTGCACACCCCCCACCGGGGATGTGCCCGCAACAAACGTACATGCCCTTGACCAGAATCGAACCTGGGACCTTTCAGTCCGCAGGCCGATGCTCTATCCACTGAGCCACACCGGTTTTGGCATCACATACTTTTGATTCCTTGGTTGGAGTCAACTCCGATACCCTTTGTCCCACAGTCATTTGGGACAGGTATCTCTGGGGTCCTCCGAGCTGCTGACACCTAGTCTGCAAGTTTGGTACAAGGGGTAGGTAGTGACAAATATCTCACAACTCTCATCTGTCAAACAATTTTGACGGTAAGACGTGTCCTGATTCTGAAATATTAAAAGTGGGCGAGAGGGCAGGAGCTATGTGTTGGAATTGATGAAATAGATAAGTGGACCAAAAACCAAGCGCTGATAGTTATAGGTGGAACAGAGGACAGAGTCAGCAGGCTGCTGGGCTGGCAGTGTGATGGGTCAGCCAGGGGCATGTTTCAGAAACTTGGAGCCAAGTTGGAAAAGGAGGCACTGGTCACTGGTGCCACGGGAGTTGACAGGCTGTTGAGGACAACAGAGAAGGGATCTCTAACTTATTGAAATGGACGTCATGGTGACTTTTTAGGAGCGGTTTCAAATGACTTGGGTACAAAACACCCTTTAAATTCGGTGGAAAGACTTGGAAATAAGTCAACAGAAATAGGAAGTATAAGCAGAACACCAGCTATAAAAAGGTGAAAAAAAATCAAAGGCAATCATGGGCTAAAGGAAGAGGTTTGCTTTTTTTTTTTTTTTTTTTTTTTTTTAATACTAAGCCATGTTTGTACACACATTTGCATGATTCGACAGTGAAGAGAAGTGAGTGGTACAGGAAGAGGGTTAAGTGCGGTGTTGTAGTTTACCCCGAATCTCACAGAGGGCACCTCACCAAGAAGTCTATTATGGAGTCTTTTATTAAAGGCTGGTGGCTTAGGAGGGGCCAATCAGCACTCCAAATCTCGCAGCCCTGAAATGCTCGCCACATCTGGTAACAGAATACCACAAAGGTACCGATTACATCTTTGGGTTTGGAATGAGGAACCTGGTTTGCCCAAAGCAGTTACAGAAGCGAAATTGAGCAAGTTAGTTATCTATACAGATTAAGTATAGTTTTGGGTCTACGGATCACTGAATCAACAGAAACACATTATCTGGAGCCACTGAGGCAATTGAGGGTAATTGTGCTGTCCTGGTTCTCAGGTACAGAAGAATGTGCCTAGATAACCGGTAAGATCACAATCAATGGGGTATGCAAACCACCATCCATGGAGTATTCAATAGATTGGGATAGCATACATAAGCTCAGAAAATCAAAATGACCTTTCTATTGTTTTAGCGAGCAAGTAAGTACAGAACCCAGAACAGCAGGGTTAAAGTTAAAACTGCAGCCAAAACCGGTGTGGCTCAGTGGATAGAGCGTCCGCCTGTGGACTGAAGGTCCCAGGTTTGATTCTGGTCAAGGGCATGTACCTGGGTTGTGGGCACATCCCCAGTGGGGTGTGTGTGTGTGTGTGTGTGTGCAGGAGGCGGCTGGTTGATGTTTCTCTCTCAACGATGTTTTTGGCTCTCCATCCCTCTCCCTTCCTCTCTGTAAAAATCAATAAAATATATATTTTTAAAAAACACCCAAAACTGCAGTCTCTACCTGAGAGGATCGCTACCGTACCATACTTCAGCCGGAGGGAAGCTCGGCACCTCGGCGGAGGGCCCAGCTCAGAGGAGCAGGAGGCCAGGGGGAAGAGGCAGGTACAGTGATGCTGCTGGCGGGAAGGCGGGGTTCCTGAGCAGACCCCCATATGCAGGCCAGAGAATTAGCCAGTTCTGGGCGCTAACGTTCCTCTCCCTAAAATGGCCACGTTCGGCATCCCAAGTGGACTGTGCGCTATCATCTTCCGCTGCCCACGCCCGCCCCGCCTGTGATGGCAGCAAAGGGTTAACCACAGGTTAAAGGTCGGCGAGGTAACGGGACGCTCGGGGCCCACCTGGGCCACCTCGGGCCTCCCATTGGAAGGCGGGGACGGAGCGGGCGGCGCGGCGCGCACGCGCGCCCCTGGTCCGTTGCGCCTGCGCGTCCGGCGCGAAGCCCGTCCTCCGCCGCCCGCTCTCGAGGGCGCGCGCCCGGGCGGCGCCTGCGCAGAGGATAGGAAACTGGGTCCCCCGTTAGGTCCCCGCGCCTGCGCGTTCGGGCTCCGGGCCTCCCGGCCTGAGGGAGAGGAGCAGGGAAGATGGCGGCGGTGGTGGAAAATGTAGTGAAGCTGTGAGTGGTCGTTTCTCTCTCTCCTGGGCCGGGAGGTCCTGTAGAGGGTCTGGGAGGAGAGGGTGGCGCGGGAAGGGACGAGGCGAGGAGCGGGACGTGCCCGGGGAGGCCATGTTGGGGCTCCCCCCGGGGAGGCGGCGGGAGAGTCCGGAGAAGACGCTGCGCCTCTTTGGAAACTTGCGGCGGCCCCGAGGGGCACCGGGAGCCCCCCGCGGGCAGCCTCCTGGGCTCGGCGGGGCTGTGCGGCCTGAGCATCCCTTCAGCCGGCCGTTTCCAGAGCGGGGCGCCCTTGCCGCGTCCGAGGAACCCTGTCCCGGGGTCGCCCCGAGACGTCGCAGTCCGGGGAGCCTGGCCGAGGGCGGCCCGGGCCCGACCGGGTCCCCGGAGCCGGCCCCGATCTCCCGCGGGCCGCCCGCGGCCGGCCTGAAGCCGCCGCCCGGCAGCTCGGCGCGGTTAGGACCGCGGGACTGTTTCTGCCTAAACAGCTGCGCGACGTG